ACCTGAGTGAACATCCCTCCTGCCTTCTGCAGGGCAGAGTAGTAGAAAAGAGTGCTGTCCTGGAAACAGGACCACTCTATTCCACCCCCTCACAGAGTAATTTCCTTGGGCCTTGCTTGCTCTGTCTATAAATGGGGAGAAGGACATTCTTTTTCTTTCTTTTGCAGTCTCCCAAAGCTTGTGCAGCTTTCTGAATTCAGCCTTTGATTCCTCCACTCAGTCGTAAGGGATTTTATTTTTAAAAGTGACGTTTTAGTTTGAAACTGAATAGCTTCCCCAGCACAGGGGCCACTTCACTCTCTCTGCTTCCCCTCCTGGGAGGGTGAGGGGCAGAGGAACCCAATCCTCTGGCCACGATGGGCAGAGGAAGACATCTTACAAACCAGAAGTTAGACTTTTCCAAGAATAGTGAGGCCTCAGTGCAGTTCCTCCCCACCCCCCATGTGTTCAAACAGACACTACACGGTCTCTGCTCAGCACCTCTGGGCAGCTTGTCAGGCAAGTCCTCTCCCTGGGGAGAAGCAGCTCCGCAGTGGTATCTGAATACATTCCAACAGCATGTGTTTATCTCTAGGGTCAGCCTTTCCTGTTGATGCTCAGGAGGCATGGGGGAAGGGGAGGGGGATTAGGATAATGGCAGCTACAGAAGGTGAGGATTGAGGGCAATGGGGACACAGATCCCACCCTTAGGTGGATGTCATTATGCTGAGATTTCCAGAATGTGTGTGGCCATGTATTTCCCAGCCGTTCTGCTGCCAGTGGAGGTGAGACGCTGGATATCCACTCACCCCGGGGCGTGTCTTCCAGAGCTGGCCAGGATGTGCTGGGTGGGGATCTCCAGGTGGGAATCAGGAGAGTGGCAGTGTTTCCATTGTTTGGTTCAGAATCTGAACTCTGTTTGGACCCAGGCTAGAGCTTAGCCATAGATGCCAGAGCCTGAAGGTTCTGGCAGTGGGACAAAGGGGGCCACCCACCCTGACTAGGCTGAGTACAAATCTCAGTGTTTGACACTGTTCCAGGAGTTGCACCCCCTCCTTCAGGAAGAGTGCCTACCATACATTTGTCCCCACTAGCTGGGGGCAAATGCTCAGGTGCCTTCTAAGGGGTCCAGTGTGCTCACACCCAATCTCAAGATCTCTGGGTTTTTTATTATTTTTTGTCAAATGAGATAATATCATTCTCCCTTGAGACTGAGTTTTGGGGAGCAGGAGGGTGGAGGCTGAACTATCTGATTCCTCATCAGCAAAAATGAATTATGTCCCCCAACCCCCATCCTCAGGCCAGGAATATTTACCCATGTTTATATAACCATGGCAACAAGCTTTATTTTTTAACACTTAAACCCTTTACCAAAAAAAAAAAAAAGGAAAGAAAAGAAAGAAAAAGGAAACAGCAAAAGGCTGTTTTTTTCTACTCTTGCGTTCCACTAACAAGGAGAGGGAGAGAGAGAGAGAGAGTGAGAGAACGCCCTGGCAAAATATTGGCCTTCTCAGGGTTTGCAATGGTGTAGCATATTTTGGTTTATGGTTTCAGAAGGTTCTGTCCATGGCCACTTGGCTCCATATCTGTGGGCCCATAATGAGGGAGAACAGCATGGTGGCAGGAGGGCGTGCCAAAGGAGTTTCTTCACCTAATCACAGGCAAGAAGCAGAGAGAGCAAGAAGAGGCCAGGCAAGATGCAGCCCCCGAGAGCATACCCCCAGTGACCTACTTCCTCTAACTGGGCCTCACCGCTTATCTTTAACTACTCCCCAGTAATGACATCGTAAAGTAAGCCTACCTTGTTCATGGATTTATTACATGTAGTTTCAACTAAGCACAGCCCCCACCCCCCCAAAAAATTTCCACACGTATTCCACAGCTCAGTGGATGCAGAGAAGCTCAGGCAGTCCCAGTTACCGTCACTTGTGTTTAAATCATCGTGTGATAGGCTGTTTCCCAGCCTTTAATTTTGCAGAAATCTGCCTCCCAAAAAGCAAATGGTGCCTACAAAACAAGGTAAACGTGAATGTGTTCAATTGAAGTGATAAAGTGAAAATTTGAGCAGCATATCTTTAGTGGAAGTTGAGTGGCATTACGGGAAAAATGACTCAAGCATCCACAGTATAGCACTGAAGTCTATGCATCCTGAGAACATGTGATTTTTCTTCAACAGTGGTCTTCTTGGAACCACATACCCACTGATACCAAGGGACTACTGTATTGTGAATCCATCAAGGGATTTATACATTCATTAGGTCAAGGTCCTCATGATCTAATCTTTCTGGAAACACCCTAGAAGACACATCCAGAGGTGTTCTTCACTAATTTCCTAGGCATCTCTCAATATAGTCAAGTTGACAATTAAGACTAACCATCTTAGTCTTAGACTTCCAAAGTCCTGTGGGAACCCTACCATAATATGAGTTGTCTAGTACTCCTCTTTTGAGCTATGCACTGAAAATTATGGTTATCAATTTATGTGAGCTGCCTTTTCTAACAATGTATTCTTTATCTGTAAGATAGAGCAAATATTTCCCTTGTCCTGCCTGCTTCACAGATGTTTATCAGAGGAGAATCTTGTAGCCAGGCATGGTGGTGCATGCCTGTATACCTGAACTAACAATACTGAGGAGGAAGAATTCTGAGTTTGAGGTAAACCCTGGGCTATATAGCAAAACCCTGCCTCAAACAACGGAGAGGGGAAAAAGAGAGGAATCAAAGAAAGGAGAAGAGTTTTGTAAGGAGCACAAAGTGTTAGAGTCACATAAGTTTAAACCATAAGCAAGAGAAACTTGCTTGTGGCCCAGAGAGATGAAAGCATTTGGACCTGTAATCCCAGGTACATAGGAGGTGTGAATGGGAGGATCAGGGTCCCCTAGGGTCCAAGGCAAAAACAAGACCCTACTTGGAAAACTAGAACAGTTGGGGGCATGGCTCAAGGGTTAAAGCACTTGCCTAGTAAGCTGAAGGCCCTGAGTTCAAATCCAAGTATCGGCAAAGGGGGAAAGCACTTGTGCAAAGTAATGTGTTATCAGCAGTATAGCTAATGATCAGACCTGGGTTCTTGCCAAGAGATCAGTCTGCTTCTTTTGGACTTTTAACTATAGCAGGCCTCCTAACTTCCGAGGATTCCAGCCCATAAGGTCTCAGGAATGGAGAAAACCAAAGCTTAAACTTGACTCCAAAGACTATAAACACAAATGTTTACTCAGTGCTCCTTACAGTTAGTTGGCTGCTGTGCTGGAGGCTGGAGATCCAAGTGAGTAAAATAAGGCCCTCTGGATTGGGGATGCCTTTTAAGGTTTCTCCACATAAGGGCCCCTCCGTGGACTATATGTCACTATATGTGGCCAGGTCCTCCTTTCTGTCCCATTCCCAGCGTATTCAACGCCTAAACTTGTTCCACTGGGTTGGAAATCGCTGTTTTGTCCTTCCTGCTCGCACTCTGAACGCCCCGCTGGTCCCAGGAAAAGGGTCTTTCATAAACCTTAAAACAGCAAGAAAGCCAGAAGCCCTATGTTGCTCGGATCTGAGGGGCAGACACATGGGCTGCCAGGGGAGCAGAAAAAGGAACTGCAATTTTAGTTTCTCCTAGCGGGCACTGGAAACGCGCAAGCAGATTTGCAGCTCTAGTCTGCTGCAGTGTTTTCCCACGGACGCAGCGAGTGAACAAAGCGAGCGAGGGGAGCGCAGGTACCTGGACTCGGAGAGGAGCCACGGGGAGACGCCTCATCCGTCCCTCTCTCTCCCTCTCTCCCTGTCCCCACCCCTAAACCCAGCTGAAGTGCACAGAATGAATGACGGCACCACCTGGTGTTCTCCCTTGGCACCTTCCCTGGCCTCCTCACCGTTTTGTCCCACGCAGAATTCTAAAATACTGCCTGCGGGCAAACTTTCCCCCATTAATTACCTTGAAACAGCACGTAGCTAATTTTCCTAATTACTCTCGGGCTTTACGACACCGCCCCTGGTGGGCCTGGCCGGGTGGCTCGGAGTCTCCGCACCGGGAGGAACCGCAGCCCCTGCGGGCGCGGAGGCCGGCGTGGCGGGTCGGGAGCTCGGCTGGGAGGCGGGAGCACCCTAGCCGGCCTGCGGTCCCCTCCGACTCATCTGCGACAACTGCGTCCCCAGGGACAGGTTGGAGCTCGCACACCTCAGGTGTGCCTACAATTCGAGCATCTTCAGTCCTCCCTTCCCCAACCTTACAAAGGCCGGGCCTGGGGAGTCCTGTGGGAGAGAAAGGCCTGTTTCTCCACTCCCTGCTCACCCTGTTGAAGGCAGTCCCCATCCCACGATCCCGTTTTGTTTTCATGAAAAGTTACTTTCTGAAATCAGCTTGTTTATTTTTACCTGTCTCACCTCCCCTTGCTTCCCCATGACAAGTTCTTGAAAGCGGAGACCTTGCCTGACTTTTTCAGTATCCCCAGATGCTGAATTTTGCCAGAAGCACAGCAGATCATGTTCAATAATCACGGTCCGAGAACGGCCACTTCACTCCCCTGGGAGTGAGCTAAGAGGTCCCCCTGCTCAGAGGAGCCCCAACTTCCAGAGTCCTCTTCCAAAAGAAAAGAACTTCTGGGGGACTTCGGGAGTTGGCGGGGGAGGGGTGGGATGGGGGAGGAGAACGTGGAAGGAGGTGTTTGTTTCTTTTCTGATCGGAGTTTGGGGAAAGTTACTGACCCTGTGGCACTTCTGCCTGAGACCGCTACCCTGTCCCCACCCGTAAAACTGCGTTCACCCTTTATAACCGAATATGAGGCCACGTGTCACGATGTCCCCAACCACGCCGACCCACGCACAGGGGACCCCCGACCCAGTCCCCTAGTAGCAGCAAGCGGCTGCAAACACTCGCTGCTGACGCACCCCGGCCTCACGGTCCGCGCCCCCGGGGGGCCGCTCTTCTCATTGGCTGAAGACATCCCCGCTGAGTTCTCATTGGCTACCGCACTTTTCCCTCCGCCCCCAGCACCGGCCGCGCGCGGCGGCCGCAGAGATCGCTGCTCCAAGCCCGGGCAGAGGGGCAGAAGCTCGGCTCTGCGCTGCAAGAGGCGCGGAGCGCACGGCTAGAAACCCGCCGAGCGCGCCGTTTTCAGTGAGATCGGTGTTCCCAACAGGGGACTCTCTCGTGGAGCCGAGCCCGGCAAATGGGCGCATGAGGAAAAGAGAACAGGGAAATGGACTGCTATTTGCGTCGCCTCAAACAGGAGCTGGTAAGAGCTGGGGCAGGGAGGGCTGCTCCGCCCCGATGGGCACCTGGCCTCCATCCTGGGCTCGGGGGAGCCAGTACGTGTACGGGGCGGAGGAAGACCCGAGAGGGAGGAGAGGACACAGACCCGCAGGCAGAGGGCAGGGCATGTGCTCCGGGGAAGGGACCACCAGGAATCTTGAGGGCAATGATTTGTGATGAGACAAGTAACAGAGAGAGCGAGCGAGCCAGGTGAAATGTGACAGGGCAACCCAGAGAGGACAGGCACCTAGAGTGAGGCCCGGGCACGGTGGGCAGCAAAGACGCGGGAGCAGCCAGGCCCAGACAGTGGCCGGTAGTGTCCGGTTGCTGGAGCTGCGCTGGGCTCCTGGAGCGCGCATGCATGCCTGGGGCAGGAGGTCGCTGGGACCGCTCTCTCCAAGGGTCCTTAACCCGCCACCACCACCCCCCGCCCCCCCGACCCCGGACTCCCAGCTCTACCGGGCTTGGCAGAGCTGATGCGGCTGCGGGGGAAGGCTTGGCCGGCTGTCTGCCCGGGCTTGTCTGCCAGCAGGGAGGGGGCTGGCAGCTGTAATGACGGGGGAGGAGGGCCGCCGCCTGGCAGATCGCGAGCGGGAGTTGCAGAGGACCAGCCAGATGTCAGGTCTGGGCTTGGGGAGTGCGCAGGGAGCGTGCGGAGGCCCCCGGGTGCAGGGGCTGAGAGAAGTAGCTTAGTCTACTAAGGGGAGGGGTGAATCACCGAAGTGGGGGAGTAGTTGACTGCAAAAGCTATGTTAAGGAGGCCCGGTTGGTAATGACTTCATATTCCATCCGCCCCCACCTCCACCCTCACTTTCTACCTTTAGAATTCCTTCAGCCACCAGAATTCAGGCAGGTGTTAGGCATAGGCAACCCCTTCTCTTCTCTGCCCTTCTCTTTTTTTCCACCACATTCTCTCTTGTGTCTTCACTCCTGCCTCTGACTTTGTGTCTCTTTTAGTTTGTGTCTCATGGAGTAGATTCTTCTGTCTCACTTTGCTCTCCTGTTTCTTCTCTTTCTGTTTGAGAGCCAGGGGCACACAGGCACAGGACAGCAGACCTGAATCCAGAAAGTGCCAGCTCATGGCTCTTCAGATTCCATGACACTCTTCCCACTTGTGCCTGCAGAGGTTACACTCTTTGGGAGGAACTTGGCAGTGCCTTGGGGGCCAGCTTTTGGGCGTGGGCAGGGAACCAGCCTGGAAAAGCAGGTGTGCTCATAGCTACTTTCTGAATTAGTCCCCCTGACCGTCGTCCTGACTCATCTACTCCATGGTCTGCCTTCTCAGGTTCTTGATGCCTCCTGGTGACCCTCAGATGTCAAAGTTACTGACCCAGAGAAATACTTCTTTGGCGAGAGCAAGTGTCCATTGCTGCTCTTCTAGAACTGTGCCATGCCCTTTTCCTTACTAGTTTCTATATGCATGTCACGCCAGTCTGCGATGGTGACCGCAGCCCCCATACATAATTGTCATTTTTCCCATTCATGTGTTCAAGATCAGAAAGAAAGGTCAGGATCATCACTGATAATGTCTGAGGTCCACAGCCCATGCTGAGAGAGTAATTTAATAGAATCCTCCTCTTTGTGCTTAGAATGGGGGACCACACCACCCACATCAGGATCTGCCTTTGTGGGTGTTCCTGGCATGGGCTCGAGTTTTAAAATCCTACTGATTTGCATATTTTACAGCACCCTAGGTGGGAGGTAGTGAGGGGAGGAAGACAGTCTGGATGCCAGGAGAATTAAAAAGGCAAATAGGAATCTGCACTGAGCTGCGTTCCACATCTTGGTTTGTACCCTCTTCTGCCAAAGGTCTTGAGCCCCCAGTGCCTGAGAGAAGGCAGGGGAGAGGCTGAAGTCACCCAGCTCTTCATCAGCTTTCATTTAGCCCTTTGTTTGTACAGTTCCAGCCTTTGACTTTCTTGGAGAGGAAGCCAAACGCCTGGCCTAGGGCCCAGAATGACGCTCAGATGGGAGAGCTCTGCACCCTCCCTCATGGTGTTCTGCCCCCTCCCCAGTGCCAGCTTGCTCAGAGAGGAGACCAAGGAGAGCAAGCCACAGGCAGAGACTCACTCCTTGACACCCCAGCCTAAATAGTGGGGCCAAATCTCAGTATCCCCAATGGAAGCAAAGGGGAAAGTAGAGCTGGATTAGCCCAGGGTCAGCCCTTTTGCTGCCTTCTTTTAAAGACAGTAGGGATTGACTTCAGCTTGGGTGTGACTAGCATAGAGAGGTATTGGCTTGTTTATGCCCCATGGCTTCCATGGGGTGGGAAAGGCATGCAGTTCATTTATGTCATGAGCTGAGGGGCTTTTGCCCTGCAGATAGTTCATCCCAGGCCGGATCTGCCACCCAGGAGGAGTGTGTATTGCCTCATTCTACCCTGAGTTGGTTTGTGACCAGGAATGGTCTCATATAATACCGGTCAAGTTCTACATTAATTTATTTCACTAAATTCCCTTCAAGAAGCATACATCCTGCAGACACTGTGGGATACAGTGCAGAAGGAAACATTAACAGGTTGTGAAATTATCTTTGGGTAATTACCAAGGTTTTCTGTGCTCCCTTCCTGCACCCTGGCCCTGTTTCTTGGCCCATAAATTTGAGACAAGAAGAGTTTGTTCCTGAAAACCAAAGTAGCAGAATTTTCCAATTTCCTGAAGCAGAAAATTTGCATTGTAGTAAGTGAGCACTGGGGAAAGTCTGAGGGTTCAGGGATCCTGGCTTAATGAAACTGATGGCTAGAATGCTGGCCCTGTCTCCTTGCTTCAAAGAGGGCGGGGTCAGGTTTCAGGGATGAACTGTGGCTACAGAAGTAGCAGCAGCTGACATACTTCCTCATTAAGAGAAGAGAGTAGGGCTGCAACGACTCAGCAGGGAGCACATCCCACCCCCATCCCCCAGCCACCAAAGAGGGGGCCCTGCCTGAACACAGGCATTGAGACCAGCTGTTCCTTACACATTTCTCCCTTGTGGGCTTCCAACAAATGGGGTAGACACAGATACATAGAGGAAGCAGATTAAAGATGCTCATAGTGAGTTCAGATTCATGTAGAACAAATAGAAACAGTGATCAAGCTCATGAAGTTCAGCCAGACTAGGAAGGCTTTCTGGAGGATGGGGAGGTTGGAGGAGGGCATCTTCTAGAATGTCCATCTCACTGAGCCATGGAGAAATGGCAAAGGGACTTCTCTTAGGCTGGGGATAGTACTCCTAGGGCAGCCTGATGTTCCCCCAGAGGGCAATTCTCTTAGTCTGTAGTGGCTACAAAGATTAGAAAGTCCTGGCACATAGAAAGACCAGGGCCTAAAGGCAAAAAATGAGGAGAAAAAAAGGAGATGGAGAAGTTACAGTAGGAACAGCTTTCAGCTCTTGGGGCAAAAGCAGATTTCTTGAAGCAGAATAAAGCTTATTCCAAAGGATCTCATTCTGTGATCTCCCTTGATATTTAACTCAAGGGGGAAGAGGGTTCAGGACTAGAACTGGGATCAGCTGGAAGAGTGTGGAGCATAGGATTTGGTGTCAGGCCAACTTGAGCTGAAATCAGCATATCACTTAACTCTCAAATGACTTTATCTTATCTTTTCTAAAATGGGTTTTTTAAATACCTATTTCATACAGCTACTACAGAAGACTAAGTGACAATACAAAGTGCCTTCTAATTGTATGTTCTTAGTACATAACAAAGTGCTATGTTGCAGGCATTTGGTAAACTCTTAATGTAGGGTTAATCAGACTGGTTTGCATAAGTCATTCATTCACAGAACATGTGTATTGAGTTCATATATGCCTAAGGCATTAACCAGATAATAGCACCATGGAAACAAATAAAAACAGACACAGAGTTTGTCTCCAGGGAATCTATAGTTTAATAGAAAAGATAATAATATGTTAGTATTAAGGTTGATATGCAAGACATATAACATGTCGTTTAATTGCCAAGGCAACACAAAGAAGTAGTTCTTTCACTACTCCCATTTAATGAGAAAACAGAGACACAAGGAGAGTAAGTGACTTGGCCAAAGTCATACAGCTGATAAGCAGCAGAGGTTGGGTTCAAACCAAGCCAGTATGAGTGCAGAGCTCCTAACCAGTACAGTGTACATCTGTAAGCCTCTCATACAGAAATAAAAGATAGAAATCATATAATATTCACAGACTCTGGGCTCCAAGAGGGGAGAGGTGACCCAGCTGGGAGATCAGGCAAAGCTTCCTGTTGTGGAAGAATTAGCCTGTAAGCAAGACCTTGAGGGATAAATAGAAACACATACAGGAGGAAAAAAAGCAGGCCAGGCCGATAGTGAAACATGAGCACGAAGGCACGGAGGCAGAAGTCGTGCAAATGTCTGAAGACCATTCTGAGTTTGGCTAGATCACAGGGTATGTGCAGAGAAACAGTGAGCAGCAGAGATGAAACAGTTGTTCCAGGTAGACTCTTGGGGGGCCTTGCTAAAGGCTGACTTTTTCTATGTGCACTGGAGTGCCACATGGTCAGAAGTGTGCCCTGGGACCTAGGGGGTGGTATGGAGTGGAGGAGGGGGAAAAGAGGAAATTAAGGCAAGATCATGTTAGAAGGTTATGGCTAAGGCAGTTACTGGGGTTATGGGTCAGGTGGTAACAAGCTAGAGGCCCTGAATTCAATCTCCAGTACCACACAAAGAAAGAGAGAAAGAGGGGGAGAAAGAGAGAAAAGGAAGGCAGGAAGGAAGGAAAGGGAGGAAGAGCCTAGGCAACAGAGTATGAAGGCCGAAAACAGGAAAACCAGGAAGGAAAAAAGGAAGATAACATCTTTTTTTTTTTTTTAATTTAGAGGATATTAGTTTCTGTAATCAAACCCATATGGATAAGACCTTACATATTTAATAAGTGTGTTGCCTCTGTACAAATGGAAAAAAATAAGTTTAACATTTCTAGACCAATATGGCTATTAATTTCTGTACAATGCCAAGTCAACATGATAAAATGGGATACTTTTTCCAAGTTGAC